TGATCCGCCCGTCTCGGCCTCCCAAAGTGCTGGGATTACAGGCTTGAGCCACCGCGCCCGGCCTTTATTTGCTTTTCTACTGATTTAAATCCTATGGATAAAAAGGAAAGTGAGACTGAGATTATTTGACTATTGAATAAATAATATACGGAAACGCAGTGGCTTACACCTATAATCCCAGCACTCTGGGAGGCCAAGGCGGGCAGATCACTTGAGGTTAGGAGTTCAAGACCAGCCTGGCTAACAACGGTAGAGAAACTCTGTCTCTACTAAAAATACAAAATTAGGCCAGCATGGTGGCATATGTCTGTAATCCCAGCTAGTTCCGAGGCTGAGGCAGGAGAATCGCTTGAACCCGGGAGGCGGAGGCTGCGGTGAGCCGAGATCGCGCCATTGCACTCCAGCTTGGGCGACAAACTCCACCTCAAAAAAAAAAAAAAAGAAAAAAAAAAGAAAAAAATCACTTGACTAAAAAAAAAAAAAAAATAACAAACTTTAGAATTTGTGTTAAATTCTATGCACCTGTACAGCACATCAGACCTGACAAAAGTATTTTCATATACATCGTCTCATTTCACTCTCACAATAACTCTGTGAGGCAGCATGTATTATTTTTCTGAAGGGACAAATAAGGAGCTGACACCTTCAAGGCAAGTGGTAAAGCCAATATTGGAATTCAAGAGTCCTATCTCATAACCAGTTTTTTAATGTTCTGCCACGTGGTTTCCAAGCCCATTCCCTGTTTTGAGTCCACGTGATCCAGGGCTGAAGGTAACTTTGAAAGATCGTTATGTGATAAGGAGAAAATGTAACCGAAATAACCCAAAACATAATTCGGTAATTATCGAGGGCCTGGCATCTTGTCAGTACAATTGTGAAGAACGAATGAGACAATATATGCGAAGGAACTCACCACTGTGCCCGGAACACTTCCGTATTTTCCATAAACATGAGTTTTGACTGATGAGCTATTTACACTCATGAAAGAATAGGAAGTAATACTGTACTAATTCAAAAATATTCTCGGAGTCCCTATTATGAATAAAAACGGTTAGGCACTGCCAAGGGCATCAAGAACCCATGCTGGTGCGATCATTTAGCACTCCGGGTCTCAGGACTGCATGAGAATACTGACAAGTGCTTTAAGTAGAAGCTAAATAGAGGGAAGGGAGCCAAAGAAAAATATTTGGCTAGAAGACGAAATCGGAAAAGACTTTCTGGAGGAGGTGACATTTAAGATGTGCCTTGAAAAACGAATATAACAGCGCGGGGTTGGTACGGGGAGGGGGAGCTCGCTGAAGAGGGAGGGGCGAGTGGGTATGCCGGACGTCACCGTTTTGGGGGGCCTGACCGCCCGGCTGTAGGAGTAGTGAAGGCAAATGGGAGGTACCGGAGATTTCAGGGCCGGGGCGTGAGTCCAGCCGGCAACAGCCAGGCCGGCCAAATGCCAGTTGGGAGTCAAGCTGCTGACAACGCGGGGATTCTCGCCCATGGACCCGGAATGGGGCCTGGGAAGTCCGCTTCCCCGTGTAGGGTGAGGGACCGCGGGGGAGGCGGTGGGCGCTGGAGCTGGCCTGGGTTTGCGTTCGCGCGGGCGGACGGGCCGGGGACCCCCGGAGGGCGAGGCCTGGGGTGCGGGATGAGTCAAAGAGGCCCCAGCTTCTCACCTGCGGCTCGCAGAGCTTGGCGCAGTAGGACGCGGGCGGTCCTGACCGCCGCTTCGGCCTCTCCTCGAACACAGAGTCCTCGAACTCGCCGCCCAACAACCAGCACCCGGTATCCATCGCGCGCCCGCGGCCGGGGCAAGGAGGAGGCGGGGCCCGCCGGAAAAGGCGGGGCTTCCACGGCCCAGGGCGCGGCAGGCTGGGACTTGTAGTCTTCGAGGGCGACGCGGGGATGTGGCCGCTGCTGGCTGGGAGTAGCGGTTGAGCTGAGATGATTATCTGACCCACTAACTGACCGAACCCCAGGACGGAGGTTTTGACTTCTTGTCAGGAGATGGACAGAACGATCCTTACCGGCACGCCTCAAAAAGCACGCTGGCCCCAGAGTAGCTGTTTAAAACTCGCAGGTACCTTTTTAAAAATTAAAATAAAAGGCCGGGCGCGGTGGTTCACGCCTGTAATCCCAGCACTTTGGGAGGCCAAGGTGGGCGGATCACCTGAGGTCGGGAGTTCGAGACCAGCCTGACCAACATGGAGTACCCCAGTCTCTACTGAAAATACAAAAAGTAGCCGGGCATGGTGGCGCGTGCCTGTAATCCCAGCCACTTGGGAGGCTGAGGCAAGAGAATCACTTGAACCCGGGAGGCGGAGATTGCGGTGAGCCGAGGTCGCATCATTGCACTCCAGCCTGGGCAACAAGAGTGAAACTCCGTCTCAAAATAAAAAATAAAATAAAATAAAACAATTTTGAGACAGGGTCTCACTCTGTCACCCAGGTTGGAGTGCAATGGCGAGATCATGGTTCACTGCAGCCTCGAACTCCCGGGCTCAACCGATCATCCCGCCTCAGTCCCCTAAGTAGCTGAGGCTACAGGTGCGTGCCACCGCGCCTAGCTAACTTTTGTATTTTTTGTGGAGACTGGGTTTCATTACGTTGCCCAGGCTGGTCTTGAACTCCTGATCTAAAGCGATCCACCCACCTCGTCCTCCCAAAGTGCTGGGATTACAGGAGTGAGCCACTGCGCCCGGTGCAAGTACCAATTTTTAACCAGTGTGCATTCCTGGCACTGTGTTAAGCACATTTTCTCTTTTCGGCTAACGACCACCTTGTGAAAGCCACAGTGATTCCCATTTTGCAAATCCTATTTTGAAGATATTGGAGTTTGGAGAGGTTAAGTAACTTGTTAAGTTTCAGTCATTACGTGGCTGAAAGTTGGGAAATACAGAAATGAGTTCGTACTCTCCGTGCTTCCAGACGAGAGACACTACCACCAATAACAAAAGACCGGAGTCATTCATGCATTTATGAAAGAAAAAACACAGAAATATACCGTGGGAGGCTAGATCAGGGAGCATTCATTCGACCCTGGAGAACACCAAATCTCAAAATTCTAAGACTAACATTTACTACAATTTACTACAATTCTTATACTTTTGACTCTAGAAAGCAGAGATTGTTGACAAAATATTGGCCAGTATCGTACAGCACAATATTGTGCCATATTACACAGTAGGTAATAAACATACAGGTTTTCCCTATTTTTTCCCTATTCCTCTTCACTCTCACCAGTTTCTCTTACACTATTTATGTCTTTCAGAGTTCTTTTTTAAAATTTTATTTGTTTGTTTATTTCTGAGACAGGGCCTCGTTCTGTCGCCCAGGCCAGAGTGCAGAAGCGCGATTTCGACTCACTACATCCTCAACCTCCTGGGCTCAAGCCATCCTCCCACCTCAGCCTCCCGCAGGCCACCACATCCAGCTATTTTTTTGTATTTTCAGTAGAGAGGGGTTCCTTCATGTTGACCAGGTTCATCCTTCTTTCTTCAACCCAACTTTTTCCTCCACAAACTCACCTAATCCACTCCCCTAGGTGTCAGAATCCATCTCTCTGCTAATTATTGCCAAAATCTAGAACCAGCTCATTTATCCAGCAGCCTGGGGTGGGAGGCTCCACCTGAACAGCCTCCAGGTATTAGCTACTGATGAATTAATTCATCAAGATCCGTTTAAAACATTTTTCTGGCCGGGAGTGGTGGCTCACGCCTGTAATCCTAGCACTTTGGGAGGCTGAGGCCGGCAGATCACCTGAGGTCGGGAGTTCGAGACCAGCCTGGCAAACATGGAGAAACCCCTTCTCTACTAAAAATACAAAATTAGCAGGGTGTGGTGGCGCATTCCTGTAATCCCAGCTACTTCGGACGCTGAGGCAGGAGAATCCCTTGAACTCGGCGGGTGGAGATTGCGGTGAGCCGAGATCACACCATTGCACTCCAGCCTGGGCAACCAGAGCGAAACTCCGTCTCAAATAAAAAGAAAAAACAAACAAACAAAAACCACATTTCTGCTGAAACAGGAAGTGTTAGGGTGCTTACGGATAAAAGGTAGTTCTTTGCCCTTTAGACTCAGGATTCCTGGGCTCGGGTGTTTCCAGCCTTTTTACCACTAATGACCCTTTCAGTTTCTCCCTGAAAGTTGTGGAGGATTTCTGTATAAAACTGCATTTATTAACTAATAATTATTTTATTTTTCCTTTAAAAAATAGAATCCAGATCCTATATAACAGCCAATCCAAACTTCTACCCAGCCTAAGTCTACCAGCATTGCCTCACTGTACATTAGAATTCCACTTGAGCCAGGCGCGGTGGCTCAAGCCTGTAATCCCAACACTTTGGGAGGCCGAGGTGGGCGGATCACGAGGTCAGGAGATCGAGACCATCCTGGCTAACATGGTGAAACCCCGTCTCTACTAAAAAATACAGAAAATTAGCCGGGTGAGGGGGCGGGGGCCTGTAGTCCCAGCTACTCGGGAGGCTGAGGCAGGAGAATGGCGTAAACCCGGGAGGCAGAGCTTGCAGTGAGCTGAGATCCGGCCACTGCACTCCAGCCTGGGCGACAGAGCGAGACTCCATCTTAAAAAAAAAAAAAAAGAATTCCACTTGAAAGCAAAGCAGCAGCTGTTAGGGCCCTAGGAAGCCTGAAGAAAGGTAAAATATGATTAGCATCGGACCTCAGGCAATAATGAAAACACTTCAAAGACTCCTATCACTACTGAGGACCCGGGGTCTGGGACCCCAAGTTACACACCTCTGCCTCATTTGATAGAGAGGCGCTAGGGTAATGTCATTTTAAAAAAGTAAACCAATAAAATAGAAGGGCATTATATGCTCTGTAACTGTTAAATCCACCTCATACACTAAGGAAATGCCAAGTGTTAGGCAGTGTTAGGAAACTAGAATTCTGCAAGTATCTAAAATTGTGTGGTTGCAATTAAAACCTGTTTCTGTAGACTTTTATCTATAAAAATCTGATTTTTGATTGAGGTGACTGAGTTCCCTATCACAAGGTAACCACCACCTCCTCCAGGCAGCCATCCTTCTTTCCTGTAATTCTTCCATGCTTCTATCTATCCACGGTGGCATTTAGCACTCTGTGTGGACTGTTGGAGGTTAGAGGTGGTGTCTTTTTCAATCTTGTCAACTCAGCCCCCAGTCAGGGATTAGCTCAGACCACTGCAATAAATGTGTTTGATTTATGGAGATCCAAATCCTGTTGAATGGATGGGTGAATGGGTAAATAAAAGAAAGGAGCTGGGAAAGGTGGCTCATGCCTGTAATCCCAGCACTTTTTGGAAGGCTGAGGCGGGCAAATCACCTGAGATAGGGAGTTCAAGACCAGTGTGACCAACATGGAGAAACCTTGTCTCTACTAAAAATACAAAATCAGCCAGGCGTGGTGGCGCATGCCTGTAATCCCAGCTTCTTGGGAGGCTTAGGCAGATAATCACTTGAACCCGGGAGGAGGTTGTGGTGAGCTGAGATCGCACCATTGCACTCCAGCCTAGGCAACAAGAGTGAAACGACGTCTCAAACAAAGAGAGAGCGAGAACCAGGAAATGGCAAAAGGAGCAGAGGAGCACTTCTCAGTTCTAAGTCAGAAGTTCATGTCCTATCTACAAGTAGGGGAGGGAAAGAACCAACATTTATTGAGCATCTATAATGAGGTCATGCTATGGGCACCCTATTATTTTTATTTATTCTCATAATCTGAGTTTAGATGTTATTATTCCCATTTTTACAGATAAGGAAATATTAATAGGATCTGAGCGGTAACTTGTCCAAAGTCCCAGGTAGTGAGTAGATCAGTTCAAAGTCAACTTTATTTGACATGTTGTTAAATATCCCCCGAAAACAAAATGGCAGAGCTTCATGAAGACGTGGAGAACCATGTCTGTCACTGGCTGGTTCTGCCTGCCCCATATTCTAGCGCCTTAGGTACTCTCATTTCTTCTGTGTGTCTAGGCAGAGTGACTTCTCTGCCTTGTTTGTACACATCCCAAACACGGCCTCTCCAGCTTGGGCTTACCACAGAGCTACATTAATTAAAACAATGTGGTACTGGCATAAGGATAGAAATATCAACCAATGGAACAGAACTAAGAGTTCAGAGGTAAACCTTCACACATTTATAGCCAATTGGTTTTTGACAAGGGTCTCAAGTCCATTCAATGGGGGAAAGAATAATTGCTTCAACAGATGATGCTGGGACAACTGGATTACCACATGCAAAAGAATGAAGTTGGACCCCTGCCTCACACCATATTAAGAAATTAACTCAAAATGGATTAATGACCTAAATATAAGAGCTAAAATCATAAAACCCTTAGAAGAAAATTATTCATGACCTTGAATTTGGTAATTTTTTTTTTTTTTTCTGAGACAGAGTCTCGGTTTATCACCCAGGCTGGAGTGCAGTGGTGATCTCAGCTCACTGCAACCTCCACCTCCTGGGTTCAAGTGATTCTCCTGCCTTAGCCTACTGAGTAGCTGGGATTACGGGAGTGTGCCATCACATCCAGCTAATTTTTTTATATTTGTAGAGATGGGGTTTTGTCATGTTGGCCAGGCTGGTCTTGAACTCCTGACCTCAGGTGATCCACCTGCCTTGGCCTCCCAAAGCGTTGGGACTATAGGTATGAGCCACCGCGCCCAGCCTGGTAATAGATTCTTAGATATGACACCAAAAGCACACAAGCAACAACAACAAAAATAGATAAACTGGGCTCCAGAAAACTTAAAACTTTTTGTGTATCAAAGGACATTATCAAGAAAATGAAAATACAGCCTATAGAATGAGAAAAAT